TATTGTATAATCAAGTGTTGAAAAACAGAAGGCACATTATTTCACTGACTTAATGATGCTAATATTTTGCTTCTTATGCAGTATTCGTGGGCGTTTTCAAACTAAGGGTCATTAGATGCAGAGACATTTGTGTGGCACAGCCAAGTGTTAAAGTTATCCTTGTTAAAGTCTTTTGATGACTGAAACTCAAATTTATTTACAATTAGTTAAATGCCAGCCTGTGTGATATCAGTGCAGTTACAAGGCTACAAACCCAGCATTTAAGGTCTCAGCCACCTGAGCTTTCAATCTAGAATCATTATCGCTGCCAGTGCTGCAGTCAGGCTTGGCTTACACATTTTCAAGGGCCGATGATTTTTGTCAAAAATTGCTTGGCAATCTCTTTTGAGGATGAAGAATCTGGCACCATTTGTGTGGCATTGGTGTTTCACATGCGACTGACACGATGAGGTGATGTGAATCACTGAATTGTACGCTTCAAAATTATCAAAATTGTCCTAATAAATGTTCCATGGGCACAGCGCACCATACATCAAAATAAGCTCCGCGAAACCTAGGCTCTTCGATTGGAAATGTCACCTCAAGAGTGAATTCACCCTCGTCTGGATTGTAAAACAGGATGTGTAGAAACTACAAACTATCACACAACATAATCTGGACGACATACACTCTAAGTGACATTCTGTATAAAGATAATCAGTTGAGGTGGATTCTTTATTTGCTTCCTTGACAGAACATTTATAGTCAGCACATTACCCAGTGCAGAGGTGTCAGTCACTTCAAGTCAGCTGCAGAATATAATTGGATCAATCATGACGAGTGGTGGAATTATTCACATCAATGTAATGTAAATGGATGTTAAGATTAGAGGCCTTTGGGGGCCAGTGGATTTACGCAGAATGAGATCTCACAGTTAAGGGCACGATCAAAAAGGAATGTCTTTAGGTGACATTTGAAGGTGGGGAGGGAGGGGGCAAGGCAACAAAAAGAAATGCAACAGGTAGTGTTTTTTTTGTAAACTCCGACATAAAATTTATTTTGAAATGATTTTCTGGGCCACAACAATAAAATTTGTTTTTACCAAATATTCACTAAAAAAAAGAAGTTATACTTCTGTCATTAGCTGTACAATACATACAGTATCTTAAAACCAGCCACTACGATCCACTAAAAATACAGTAAGTGGCAACAGCAGCATTTCACAAGAATTGTGCATACATTATATACATAGTAGACATTCAGAATTTCACATATGTACAGTGCACAAGTGCAGCATACAAACACACATCCAAGTTTGGTGTTCATTGAATTAACTCATGCCTTTACTCTGGTATGGAGTAATCTAAACCACTAAATGTCACTCTGTACAGCAGTAGAAATTCAACCTTTTTTTAGCAAAACAGTTCTTGTATCCAAGGTCTTTTCAATTAGCAAAACATCCCTACAAGCCTCAGCTTGATTGAAACTGTAACCAGATACGGACATTATCTAAACCAAAACAGTCACCACAGATCTCAATCAGTCACTTATTCCCCTTTGAGGAATGCAGCAATTTTGAAAAGTATCAGAGGCCTCACTTGTTGAAACAAACCAGGATATGAAACACATTTAATTAATAAGTCAATTAGAAAAGGTTTCAGTATTATCAGGTACTACAAATTAACAGTGCTTGGTACAAGATTTCACATGAAGTCAGTATTTTTCTAAGCTATACTTCAGGTGAACAGACCCATAAGATGCCTTACTCCCTAAATTTCTAGCCCTGCAGCCAGATATGTGAAAAGGAATGCATTTTGGTAAATGCCCTGGTTTTTCCTATTTTTTAAATCCCATTTTAATTGAGGTAAATGTCCAGTTTTTAAAAAAAAGTTGGTCGCATATTCTAATCTTATTTTAGGAAGTTATTTAAGACAAACAAAATAATTGGCTTTAACCCTCTGAGTACTTAAATCCCACGCTTACCATAGTCTGTGCTGCATACTGTAGAATCCGGGGTGGGAAGCATTACATTTACAACAGTGGAGTAGCTTCTAGAGAATTTAAATATGGCACCTACATTTAGCAAGGTTTAGCAGTCAAAAATTGTAACTATTTATCTAATAGATTAGGAATTGCAAAAAATGAGAACTGACTGCAGCTTTTAACTTGTTTTCTAATGTTCAATTTGTGTGCAGGCTGCAAAACTATGCACTGAAGCAAGGATGCTTATGAGTTTTAAAACCATGAAGAATTTATGTTTTCAGAGGATACTTTAACCTACAGGGAAGGTAGTGTATATGCTTAAAGACATATGTATATGTCTGGAAGACGTGATAAGGCGCTATATCAAATGCAAGAATTATTATTGTTATTGTATTATTAAAGGACAAGTACTGTGTTGACTAAATTGCCCCATAGTGGGTAAGGAACACATTTCTATACACTGATCAATGTACATGTACACTGGTTTTGTATTCCAGAACTGTTGGCTTCAGCTCTGCTGCTGCAATATCTGAACACATTATGAATGAGAAGTGCTACCCGCAATCCCCATTCATGAAATCACAGCAGGAGAAATGCTAAACAACAGGTCTGCTCTCAACCAGCAGTGCTGCAGTAAAACAAAGTAAAATGGATACAGAAATGACCCACACACTGGTAAGGGGATAGATATCATTCTTAATACCATTTTGAATTATTGGGCAATTCTGCAAGTTATATTATATTTTATTTCCCTTTAAGTAGGTATCAACCACTTCCAGAAAGCAACAGAATAGGGTTTCGAATCAGCAGTGCAGACTTAGCTTAACAAGATTTTTCTAAATTGATGTTTTGATTGACTGATATTTCTTTAGACAGCTCACAGACAAACTACTCTCATATTAACCATTATCGAGTTGTGCATATCGATCAACGACCTAACACTGTACTCTGGGATGACCAGTGTACAATACTCTGGGAAACTAACGGTAACAATGTTAAAAGTTTGACAATGCCCTCCACTTCTGATCTGGGTTTATAAGAACCAAAAGTATCCTTCATATAAATAAAAACAAAAGACTGCAAAACAGCAATTTGAGGAACAAATTAATCATTTGCAACCTTCTATGCACCCAGATTACTTATGTAGTACTTCTGTATGGTTGAAGCTTTGATCTCTTCAACCAGTAAATGTTGACTGAAGCTTATGGGAACTTATTTAGTTCTATATATAGTATGACATTAAATACGTAAAAGTTCACGCTGTATGGCCTACTGTTATGAATGGTTTCATTACTTCTTTATTTTAGTCCTCAAATGTAATGTAAAGCATGCATTCCCCTTCCAATCTCTTGAACACTGCAGTTAATACATCCATACAAGCTGCTATACCATACGTATGCCCAGTACCCAATAGGTTAAAGAATCAATTGTATGTAAACCTCCCACATAGCATTGATAACAAAAGGCACATCATTAACACTAAGGGCACAATTTGTCTGCTCAGGTGAAAGGTTTTATAAATCCAAAGTCTTATATTGTACCATTGATTGTTTTTTTTTGTAGTGATGGAAAAACCCAATGATATGTGGAACCGAGTTACTGAACTAATTGGACATTATATAATCCGAGATTACATGGCACTGAACTAGTATCAAGTCAGGGCATGTACAAGCACCCTCGGACTGCAGCCTCCTACAGAAGACTGAAATGGTTTCTAAGTTTGTGAAGGGTTATTATTTCCATAAAAAATAAACAATTTTGCTCCAATCACTAGCAATAGGTAATAACAAAATGTGCAATGGAGGTAAAGTCTGTACAGGAGATATTTCTCAATGAGTCAACAAGTCCGCATCCATCGACTGCTCAGAACAGCTTTGGGGCCAATGCAAGTACACAAAATCTCTTTCCGGTAACATTTTACAAAGCCAGTAAATACAAAGATTCTCTGTAGTGTTATTTCAGCAATATTGTACAATTACAACATTCAATTCAAAGTGTATTACAAAGCAAAAAAAAGTACTAGAAAAGGATATACTGCAATTTCAAATATTGCACTATAAAACAATTCAACATACATGTATTAAATACATGACAACTTTAGAGTTTTATTTCTCTAAAAGTACAGGAAACAATGGATTTATTGACTTAAACCCAGTTTCAGTACCGTGAAGGTTTGTCTTGCTCTATAAATAAATATACAAACACTTCATAGAAATATGTAACTTTAGCATAAAATCTTTCAAAATACAATGGAGAGGAAGGTCCATATACATTTACATGTTTTGTTACTTGGCAGAATGTGTAAGAAAGTTTACTGTAGCCTGATCAAAGAGCTAGGTTACCGGAAACAACGCTTATATTGGCCTAACTGAGAACCATGCTTTAAACTTTGGAAGTTGAACATTTTAAATTCCATTTTTTATTAAGATTAATCATCTTTTGAAGTATCTTCAGGTAAGGTAATATGATCATTCATTTAAATTTTTCATTTTGTACAATAAAGTTTGTTTTCTTTCATTCAACATCTCTACTCTTCATAAAAAAGACTCACCAATAATTTCTCAAACCCCATCACACACAACGCCTCATTCGTGCTTCCATGGGCTGTTTATATTTCCAAAATGAGACTACTTTCTGTGAAAGAAGGACTATACCTAATAGGACTGATAATGTTACAGGTGCGAATTGTTACAATTTCAAAATGAAATCCAGCTAAAATGTTCAAATAGATAGAAACGTCTATAATGTACAACATATTTATCGCTTAATGTTCGGTTAATGTATTCCATTTATACATCAAGCCAAAATTGAACAGAACCTCTGCCCAATCACAAAGACACACAACTTACTTTACTGACGTTAGAGTGGAAAGATTTGAAATCAGTTCAGCAGATACTGGGACATTAAATTATGCCTCATGATTTATTGGCTTATTCTTATTCTGCTGTGCGCAATTGGCTGCCGCGTTTCACCCACAAACATACAGTTAATTCACTTTTACAGTATATTCTGTGAAGGGCTTTGAGACGTCTCAAGCAGTATATCAAATGCAATGATTATTATTATTATTTTATTATGGTACAAGGGTTTTGTCATTGATTTATTCAATTACTACTTTCTACACTTCACTGGTACTGTTTTACATTTTTCAAACCAGTAAAATTACTATCCTTCAATGCAATGATTTTTAAAATGCCCGATAATAAATGCAGCGAATCAATAATTTTTCATTGCTTTACTCCTGTCAAATTAATATTGGCATTTATTGGACAGCCTCAAATGTCGTATGGTTGATGTACCACATTCATACCACAATGGAATAGATAGGAAGTAAATGACAGATACTCAATAGATGGAAAGGCAACTTCCAATAAAGCATGGTCCCCAGCACTCAGAAACAAAATACTGTTCCTAGCATTTATAAAAGCAGAATGTTGCTTAAACTCTGTTGAAATCAATGATTATCAAGGTCTAAATACAAAATTTCAACTGATTAAGGCTCTGCGATGCGGTAACAAGTGTCAACACTCCTCGCCTTCCTAAACTTATTCAAAGTCAGCTAACCAACTTTGGCAACACTGTCCTCTGTTGAATATTCCCATTGGCATCCGTTATTTGTGCCAAATTAGTCCTTAGTTTCGAAGTTGAGTCTGAAGTTGGAGGCAATTTGGAAATTGATGTAATAGCACCACTGCTTTCCGTAGCTCTTTTTGGTAACGTTTTCTCTCCAGCTGGAGGCCTCGGTAAGCGTCTCCGTAGCCAGGGGTGTCGCAATGCCTGGCTGGGCGTCATACGTAACGCAGGATCCCACTCTAAACACTGTTTCAGGAAGTCGAGAAAGAGAGGATCATCGCAGCCTTTCAACGCGGTCACCCAGTCCTTGCTCCCCGGTGGCCCACGCAGCTTTCCCCTGCGCGACCGTCCTCCATTGAGAATTACTGAGCCATCGGGCAATGTAGTGACTGTACAATAGCGGGGGTAGCCTTTGGAGCTCACAAAATTTTTGGCTCGTTTCGATTGATCTAAAAACTTCTGCGGTGCCACACCCAGCAACTCAATCATACAAGCCAGCTGGTCCCCTTCATCTTCTCCAGGCAACAGAGGGTATCCTGTTAATAGTTCAGCCAGAATGCAGCCCAAGCTCCACATGTCTATAGGCATTCCATAGCGAGCACCAAGGATCACCTCGGGTGCACGGTAAAATCGCGACTGTATGTACGTGTATACACGCTGGTGTTCATAGCAGCTGGAGCCAAAATCTATCACCTTAATGCCACTGCGTCCCTGTTGCTTGAGTAGAATATTCTCAGGTTTAAGGTCACAGTGAATAATTCTGTTCTTATGCAAAGCGTCCAAGCACAGCAATATTGAGTGTGCAAATTTTCGAACCAAAGGCAAGCTAAACCCTTGGAACTTGTTTTTCTTAATCAGCTCGTATAGATTCATGCTCAGCAGCTCAAACGTCATGCAAATATGGTTACGGAATGTGAAGTTCTCCAGCATGTGAATGACATTCATGCTGTTATCCTTGTCTTGCTTCTTCAAGTGCTCGAGAATCCGGATCTCTTCCGCAGCCTGTCGGTGGAACCGCTTTTCATTCCTCACCATTTTCAGTGCTATGTGCTGGTGCTGCTTGTGGTCATAGGCTTTCACTACCTGCCCAAAACTCCCTTTTCCAATTACTTTCAAAACTTCATATCTGTAAGAAATGTGATCGTGAGGTACATGGATGTAGGAGCCTTGGTCATCGTCATAGCTACTGTTGTTTGAGCCGCCAATTATACCCTGCCGTTTCTTTGCATTTGGACCAACAAAGTGGATCTCTGGATAGTTGAATATCTCTTGGTGCTCAAACGTTGACAGTTTATGCATAAACTGTTTCATCGCTTGTTCTGGAGTCATCACGGTGGATTTAGGTTTTGAAAGACCATCCGTCGACTTCACAGAGGCAGAGCTCCCCTGCCGCCTTTGAGAACTATCCAATTGCCTGTCCTGAACCACTGGTAATGTTGTTTTACTAACCATGGTGAGTCCATTTGGTTGTGTGGTCAAAATAGTCCTTTTGTTGCTATTGTCTTCAAAGAGCTGTTGTACTTGGATCTGTCCATGACTGCCAATATGTAGGTGGTCATTCATTATGTGCTTATTACTTCCAACCTAAAAGGGTTGCAGGAGGTTTGGTGGTGGGGAGGAAAGGAGAAAAAAAACACAATGATTAAATTACAATTTACCAAAAGGGATAGAATAAACTGGAAATAATAATACAGTAAAGCTTTTTGGTGGGGATTCAACGTTTCCCACTATTTTATTTCATCTATTTTGATTCTCTCACTCAATAGCAATTCTTCAGTGCTAGGCTGAACAGCAAACATGTTCTACAACCAACCAGTATGTGGATAAATTCCATTCTTGGAGACTGTTCATTTCCCCCACCTTCATGCCCAGCTGATACACATAACTTGCAATTTCAACTGTAAATTCACATCCTTTACTTTACATTGTAGCACCATTTCTGCACCAACATACTGCAGTACTAGATCAACCTGAAAAGCTGCGTAAATGGAACTGAAAGAATTGCGTCACTCAAACCGCCAGCACAGACATGAGCTGAATGGTCTTCATCTATGGTTATAATCTTCAATTAAATAAGCTGACATAACTGATTAACCTTTCTGTCAGACAAAATTAATTGTACGACTGGTTAAATGTACATTATTTTTTGAACAAAATATATGAATGCTAATCTTTCTAAAGGAGCAATGAATTGACACATGGTAATGTATAAACTTTACGTGCAAGTTTCAAAAAGGCCAGTCTCCATCGCAGATATAAAATAATTAGTTTACAACATGTGGTGTTAAATATATTTTCTATCAATATACTAGATTTGGAGCACCAACACGTTTGATAAAATGTTCAAGCTGATTAATGTCACTTCAAAGAAGCTAAACCCACCTAAATAAACCCTGAAACAGATTTAATTCCAAATTTAAAGGAACTTTGTATTTTTGATAAGAGTGCCCTCTCTGTCAGGGGGATGTCTCAAAATGCTTCACAGCATATTATGTAAAGTGACTGTGTATTTCGTTTGCAAGCACAATTCAAAGCAGAATTTTTTTTAATTGATCTCTTGAAGCGCCATTTCAATGTTCGCAGGAATTTTGCACAAATAGCTATGTCGTGATGACCAATTTTATTTGGGGATTGTTGGCCAGGACACCAGGAGAAACTCCCTTTTCTTTTCAAATTGAGTGTTCTTAAACAATCTTGCCCAGATTAAATGAAATTCATTTTAACCTAACTACTTCTGCCCCATTCAATGCTGAACCTGTACATGCAGAAATAGCCATGTTTAATGGCATCTGATGAAATGATAAAGCAAAAATCAACATCTCATACAAACAGACCGAGTTCCACTCATTGTCCAAGCCACCCATCCCTAGTCTGTGTTGCACCCAAAGTCCTGTCTAAAGCTTGAAGTCTGAGAGATTCCCAACTGCAGTCATAGGCTACAGTGGAAACAAAATCCATCTTATGGGGTCAAATATGAACATCTTTTATTCAGTTTCTGTTATCTTAACATAAGAAAATATGAAGCAGCAAACAGCCATTTGGGCCACCCCATGTTTCTCAGCCTGGCTTATTTCATAGCACTCTCGTCTCTGATTCAGAAGGTTGAGGGTTCAAGCTCCATGTCAGCACTTGGAATTCAGACACCAGACTGACATACCAACGCAGTGCTGAGAGTATGCTGCATTGATGCAAGTGCTATCCTTTGGATGAGATGGTAAGCAAAACTTATTTTCTGGTGGACGTCAAAGATCCTACAGACTATTCAAGAAGACTAAGAAATTCCTCCCAGTGACTGTTGGTGGGACATGCTGTGCACTAACTGGCTATCACATTTGCCGACAAAATAGTCTCTACACTTTGAAGAATGCACTTCCCATGAAGTGCTTTCAAACTTCCTCCTAATGTGAAAGGCACTGCATCAAGATAAGGATGATTATTATTATCCTCTCCACAGCTCACATGTCATCACTCCAACCTACGGTAATGTTGATTCCCTGAATTCAAAGCACCTACACTGTACTTTCCTACCTCAATAGTGATCAAACAAAGCTGCTACCATCCCGATATCTCTTGATCTCTTTTCTCAACAAGTACTCATTCAAGATTGGTCTTGCTTTTGGTTTCTCTTTGTTTCTCGTTAGGGTGCATTTTCTTTTTCACCTTATTTGTTTAAAATGGAACTGTATTACCCCACTGTGACACTCGGTACTGCTTCTTCTACAATTTTCATTAAAAATTTACACAGATAGTGTTAAATGATGTTAAAAGTTAAATAATGCTGCCTCATTTCACACTGGTTATCTGTGATAGTGCCCTACAAAATATACAGTCAATTCACTTCACAGTATATTGTGTGAAGTGCTTTGAGACGTCTCTAAGAGGTGATAAGGCATCAAATGCAAGAATTATTATTATGTGTTATAGTATCAGTCTAACAATTGGTTTCTCGAAAAAGATACTAGGTTGTTTCGCTTTGAGGTTTAAACCCGAAACTGAGCAGGGAAAGAGAGGATTTCACACCGTGCAAGTTTACTTGATGCATATAACAACAACATTCCTTGCATTTAGTGCAGCACCTTATCATGTCGTTGAGACAGCTCAAAGCTCTTCCCAGGATTTCACTGTGAAATGTAGTGATTGTAAATAAATACTCTTGATTGGATTTAATACTCCATAGTGAATGTTTTGCTTACAGGAGATTTTCCAGAACATTTCCCCCTGAAATTATGATTTACAACGCTGAGGGGCTCAGCTCAGCCTTACTGATACGATTGGAAAATTATTTCATAAAGCACTGGAATATTTCATAAAGTACTCTCTCCTCGTCTCCCAGCTCCACCTTCTGGCCCCTCTCCTGTCTGATGACATCAACCTCTTCTTGTCCACCGATTCAGTTCCCACCCCCCTATAAACAGCTGTCATCACCCCCATCTTGAAAAAACCTTCCCTGGAACCATCCCTCCTCTCCAGCTACCGCCCCATCTCTAACCTCTCATTCCTCTCCAAGGTCCTGGAATGAGTTGTCGCGTCCCAGCTCTGCTCCTTTCTCTCTCGCCATTTCCTCTTTGAACCCCTCCAATCTGGCTTCCACACTGCCCACAGCACAGAAACAGCCCTGGTCAAAGTCATTAATGACATTCTGAACATCTGTGAACAGGGCTCCCTCTTGACCTCTCTGCCGCCTTCGACACTGTCGATCACACCATCCTCATACACCGCCTCTCCGCTTTACTCAATCTTCATGGATCTGCCCTTGCCTGGTTCGATTCCTATCCCACTCACCGTCTCCACTTTGTTGCCTCTAACGGTTTCTCCTCCAGCCCCTGCACTGTCACGTCTGGCATCCCCCAGGGCTCTGTCCTTGGCCCTCTCCTCTTTAATATCTACATGCTCCCCCTTGGTGACATCATCCGCAGACATGGGGTCAACTTCCATATGTATGCAGATGACACCCACCTCTATCTTTCTGCCTCCACCCTCAACTCCAGGACCACTGCTGTCCTGACAGACTGCCTGTCGGACATCAAGTCCTGGATGAGGGCAAATTTCCTACAGTTGAATGTGAACAAGACTGAGGCCCTCCTGATTGGCTCGCGCCAGCGCCTCAGCAGCTCAGTCTCTGGCAGCATCAACCTCCATGGTTTCACAGTACAACTCACCAAGCCAGTCAGGAACCCAGGTGTCTTGTTCGACCCTCAACTGTCTTTTCTCCCCCACATTCAAGCCATGACCCGCTCTGCCTTCTCTCACCTCCGTAACATCGCCGACTCCGCCACTACCTCACCCCTCAGGCCGGTGAAACTCTTATTCATGCCTTCATCACCTCCAGGCTCAACTATACAAACGCTCTGCTTGTCGGCCTTCCCAAATCTTCCCTCCACAGGCTGCAGATAATCCAGAACCCTGCAGCCCGTGTCCTCTCCCGCACCAAACTCTGTGACCCCATTTTCCCCACTCTCGCCCGACTCCATTAGCTCCCTATCCTTCAGAGGATCCAGTTCAAGACCCTGTCCTCACCTACAAAGCCCTCCATGGCCTCGCCCTACCCTACCTCTGTGCCCTAACCCCCTACCAACCCACCCATTCCCTCCGCTCAGCCGGCTCTGGCCTGCTCCACGTCCCCTGACCCACCCACCCCACCATTGGTGGGAGAGCCTTCAGCAACTCTGCCCCCAACCTCTGGAATTCCATCCCCCAGTCACTCCGCCTCGCCCCTCCTTAGTCTCCTTGAAGTCCCGTCTTAAGACCCTCCTCTTTAACCATGCCATCGGCCAACCCCTTCCCCTCCCCTCCACCCCCTCCCCCGACCCCAGCTTGGGTCTGAAATGCTGTATTCTTTGCAGCGCCTTGGGACATCCTCCCAATGTGAAAGGCGCTATATAAATGTAATCTTGTTGCTGTTGGATTAAACAAATCACAATTTTTCTCCATAGTAAAGAATATGAATCTTTACGATAAGCTTAAATAACTAAAGCATGCAAGGAAATGTGTCCAAACACAAATGTTCTATTCAAAGAACAGTTAGCAGCAGAAGTTATTTCCATGGTTTAACAGACAAAGCCCGTTTGTCCATTGACAACTTGACTGAAAAATGCAAAATGAACATAAAACTCCAGCAGGCTACTAATCGGGATTATCGTCCTGGCATTCCCTCAATTAAAAATACATTTCCTTCAAAATAACAGGGCAAATCTGCACGTCCACCTCTGAAACTTAAGAGTGACTTTTACTCAGAGTCATAATTCTTAATAACTTCAATAGATTCTAGAAAAAAAAGCACTTTAACATCTTTGCATAGGAGTGGGGGAGGGAAGGGGAATGGTGGTGGAAATACACAGGCCTGCTCTTCTAACTGGGTCCATAATCTATTTAACACCTTCACTGCACTTGTGAATGTGGCAGACACATTTAGCAATCGACTAATGCTGACTTTTTGTTTTGGTTGCTAAGGAGAAAATGTTTGGTAGCCAAATGTGGCTACTCGGTACTTCTGCTAAACCTAGACTCAGGGTCTCAGCACTAATAGGGATTCTTGACCTTTTAAAACAAATGCAAAGACTCTTGAATAGCCACCAGAAGCTGAGGTACAAAACCTCACTTCTGGAGACCCATTTGTTGTCTGCTATGCATGCATGCATGAAAGGTTTTCGGTTTATAGCTGAAACAAATTGGAAGAGCTCTTTAAGAAAAGCCTCAGGTCCACTTAAGAATCAGCTGACAAAAGCAGCAGTCCTGCCAAACTGGTAAACATACAGATAGGCACTTTTTCTAGCACTGTGTTTGTGTACATAACAGGCTGATTTTACCCATGCAGCGATGATATTAGGTGCTTCTCTGTATATAACAAGGTATCACGTAGTAACATTTGCATTGCTGTCTGCAATTTCACAAGCTCTAATGCAGTATTTAAAAGGAAAAAGCATGTGTTTACATTTGTCTTCCGGCTGTACTCTAGCTAGACTCTTTCCCACGCAGTTCTCTCCTCTGCCCCAACCCCTCTCCCAACATTAAATAAATTAAATAGCTTGATCAATATGGTTCATTGGGGGTGATTAGTTCACTCAGAACTCCAGTGGAGCCAAAGAAATCTACATTGGAGATGTGGAGTCCTGTAGCTCAGTGGTTAGAGCACTCGCTTTGCAAGTGAGAGACCTGAGTTCAATTCCAGGCAAAGGGCGAAACCTTGGGCAAGTTTCCTTACTCCACACAGAGCCTAATGATAATCCCTCCAAAAAAAATAACAATAATAAATTGGTCATTTTCAATCTACGACTGTTTGTGGGACATTGCTGTGCGCAATTGGCTGCCGCGTTCGCCCACAAATATGCAGTCAATTCACTTTACAGTATATTCTGTGAAGCGCTTTGGGACGTCTGGAAGATGTGAAAAGCGCTATATCAAATGCAAGGATTATTATTATTATTGCCACACAACGGCCCTTCATTTAGAGGATTGGAAAACAGTTAAGACTACAGTATGCCAAAAAAACAAGCCTCTCCTTTTCCTCTTTTCAATTCTATCTGCACATCAAGGCCACGATATGACACACATTATAATGCCGATTGATGGTTTTAAGTTCAGCATTATGTCAACGTTCTCAAATTCACTCCACTCTTGACTCATACGTTTTTGGCAAGGAATATCAAGCAGTTGCTTTCCAGTTCTACCAGGTTTGTTTTTCCTTCCTCTGACCCAGGCTCAGCCACTCTCCTGCCTCTCTCTGAACAGTCGCCCAGCTCTTTAAAGTCTTGTATTCCCTCTCCCAAAGCAAGGTCTCAGCTGGCCCAACTACTGAACAGATGCCTCACCATTTTCCACAGCACTGCTTGTGAGTCGTGGAAACGCTTACAATTGAAAACAAGAATTTTTTTTTTTTGGGGGGGGGGGGGGGGAGGAGAGAGAAATAAGTTAGTAAAAGTTTAAGCAGCTGTCTCTTCTAGATGAACTCTCAGCCATTTACCCCATCAACCGAATGCATAGTTGCCTGTGTAACCTAAACCCTGAGTGGCAAAACGATTACTTGTTCACACCTATTAAAAAAATGCAACGAGCTGCTTTCTTCCTGTCGCAAATATTTCTCTCGTTTTTTCTTAACATTTCCATGATGCAGTTATTGAGGTAAATGGCTGGATTTTGGGGGGGGGGGGGGGGGTTGGATCCACTCATTCTGAAAACTACCACGGGTTTCACTTACAACAACGAGAGCTGAGAGTAAACTGAGAACAAACTATGCCATTTCTAGCTGCCAATTCGCGTCTTGCATCCATCAACACTCCACGGGATAAAATAAAACCTCACCACAATTTCGTAGAATTACTCAGTTACAGTATGCATACTCGGGCTTCTAGGTTTGTGTACCCCCCACCCACAAAAAAAATAAAAATAAAAATGCAATTTACAAACTGATTTCGTTTCTTCTTGCAACAACCGAACGCGAAAGGGAAAAAAAAACATTCCCCATCATTCGCCAGAGCAGATCCCAACCCTGCAATCTCTGGGTGTGTGTTCGACAAAGTGTTATTAAACGTATATAAAAAAAGTCACAGTCATAAGCGACCCCCCCATCCCCCAACCCCCCCCCTCCCACCCCCACAGCCCTGTGCGTCTGTCTGACATAAGATTTACCCGAGGTCTCACTGGGCTTTGGGATAACAACACAACAAGCGAAGCACATCCAACTGCACTGGATCAGAACTGAACACATAGGGGAGAACACGCCACTCACAGCCATAGGCACATAACACAGCACACAGTGTGGTGGTGATGTGTGGGGGAGGGGGTGTGGGTTTGGGGGGGGGGGGTGTCTGTGTGGGGTGGTGGTTACGAGTGGAGAGGAATCGTTTTGTTTTTCTTTTCCCAACTAAAACTTGCTCCAAACTGTTTCAAATGCCATTTGCCGTTCTGATCGACAATGGAGATTTTTTTTTTGCTCCTATTTAAGGGTTTATCTTAGTTGCTCCCCTTACTCTCAAGGCGGGGGAGGGGGGGGAAGGGATGTACTTAAGTGGGATGTACTTAAGAGAAACGTAGGAGAAATTGGGGGGGTGGGGGGGGGTTAGAAATTCAGATACCCCAAAGGTTGTTACGAGTAACTCACATCAGTAATCTTCGCAAAAGCTCTCGAGTTTCAACACACACACACACACACACAAACTTAGATCAACTAAAGTAGACTCTCAATGATACATTTTTTTCCCCCCAAAGTCTTTAGGTTCGTCTAAATCACTCAGTTTTTTTTAAAAAAAGCCACACCACCACAACACGTCGAGGGCAGATAGATTTATGCAACACAAATAATTCTTTGGAGGTTTTCGATAAACGATCCAAGGGAATGTGTGTGTGTGTGGTGTGGGGGGGGGGGGGGGGGGGGGGAGGGGGGGATCTCTCTGATTGCAATTGCTGTTGTTGAGTTGTACGCCGCGGTTTCCATGGCAGATGTGTCTGTATTCAGTCTACACTGCTCTCTGTGTGCGGTTTGATCGACCCGAGGAGCTGTTTAGTTGCTCTTGCGATGAGTGTGTAACGTAAGCGCGCAAACAGACGATTGCATTGATCTTCTCTCCCCCACTCCCTCCCCCCACCCCCCCCACCCCACCCCCCCCCGACCACCCCGTTGATGCCTCTTACCGTGTGACTCTTGAGAGGGGGTAATCCGAGAGGGGACAGCGGGTCTCCTTGTCCAGATCCTCTACCAACAACAACAACACCTCCACCACCACCTCCACCACCACCTCCTCCTCCTCCTCTCCGGGTCTCGGAGCGATCAATACCCGTCCCCGGCGCCGTTTTGTAATCCGCCTTCAGCCCCGAGCTGTCACCGGCCCGACCTGTCAAGAGGAAGAGAAACAGTCACATTAAAGCAAAGCAAACAAGCGCTGACACACACACACACAACACACACAACACACCAGGAAACTAAACCACAGCCACTGACTGCATCCACACCGACCCAGCGTTTGCCAAACGATTATATTGTACATCTCTCTCTACATCCACACACCTCTCGCTTCACCCACACACACACACACACAGACACAGGCAATAAACACACCTCACACACTCACCCTAGTTAACACACAGATGTGACTTCAGAAGTCCAAAAAGGTTTTTAAACGAATTCCTTCTCCTCCTCCCCCCCCCCTCCCCCCAACACACACACTTCTTTTAGGAAAACGATTAAAGTATTTTCCACTCTCTCTGTCTCTCGCTCTACGGTATTTTAAAGTGACTAAAATAATATATATATATATTTTTTTTAAAAAAAACCAAATCAACCTCATGCTCCACACTTTAGCAAATCTCCATTCTTTTTCGCCCCTTCGTCGAGGGGGTGGGGAGGAGGGGGGGGGAGAGAGAGAGAAACTCAGGGAGGAAAGGGAGAGAGAGAGAGAGAGAATGAGGGAGGGGAAGAGAAAAGGGGGGAAGAGAAGAGAGAGAAGAGAGAGAAGGGGGGGGGGGGGAAGAGTCTCGGTTTCCCCTTATCCCCCCTCCACCCTCCTCTCAGTCTGCAATGTTAAAGGAGACCTCCCCCCCTTCCCCCTCCCCCTTCCCCCTCGTGGGGAAAAGGAAGAGAGAAGAAAAGAAGGATTCGACGACGAGAAACAACAGCGCAGATTTCTTTTGCACATCCCCTTTGCCATTCTGTGCTGTTTCGGTGGCCCTTACCAGTCGGACAGACAGCGGTGGTGTAGGCTTTCCTCGTTAACATGGCCGCTCAGACACACACACACACACACACAGAGAGGGAGAGAGAGAGAGAGAGGGAGAGAGAGATACAGCTGCTTCTTGCCTCAACTCCAAGCTGCCGGAGGAGAGTCGGCTTAACATCCGGAGACACAGCACGAACCCGCCACAAACTGCTCCAAACTCCACCACAGCCAACCCGCCATCATCATTCACCACTTGAAAAAAATTGTACACGAAACAAGTCAGGACATACACCGCATCACACTACACACTACACACACACACACACTGTTAAGTGCTAACACCAGCAAAGGTGCTGCTGGGACGTTCGGGTGGAGGATGGCGGCTGTGCATTATTGGTGCGGGTCTTAATGTGTGGTAGAAACCAGCCGTCCGGTTGCTATGTGAAACTCCATACACACACAAGAGAGGGAGAGAGGCGAGAGTCACTGCGAGAAGGCGGCCCACACCCCCCTCCCCCTGGAACTGAACCCACCCACAAACCAGGCGTAGCAACAACCCAGAGCGTCACTCACACTCCACTCACTGCCTGGCCCTCCGCCTCGGGCACTGAGGCTCACACACACCCACACACACACCCACACACACACACACAGAGAGGTCAAGGCAATGATGTGGTGAGAGGGAGAAAACATTAGCTGTTTAAAGACCTCCTCAGATCCCGACCTACACACTCCACTCTCATCTGTTCCCGGTGACCCGAAAAGTTTACGGTGCATTGCTTCCCCAAAGGGAACAAGAAGCCATCGGATACGTGAGAAGGGCGAGAGAAGCCTGGGCCATCCCTCAAGGGGGTTTGCCTCTCGCAATCCCGTGGCTCAGTGGTTAGGGAACTCGCCTCGTCAACCCGGGTTTGATTCCCGGGCAGGGTCACGCCTTGAGCGAGTTTCTTTTACTCCACAAGCTTCTGTTTACCTGGCAGTAAATAGGAACCCGGTTGTTAAGTCGATCGGTGGATCGCTTTTCCGGGGGTAATAATGCCTTAAAAAATACTAATAATTTGGTCACTCAATCCTGTTTGTAGGACATTGGGGTGCACAATGGGCAGCTGTGTTTCACCCACAAAATATACAGTCAATTTTGTGGAGTAGTTTGAGACGTCTCAAAGACTTGATAAGGCACTATATCAAATGCAATGATTATTATTATTATTATTATTATGTGTTATAGTATCAGTCTAACAATTGTTCTCTCAGTGGTTGGTAATAGTAGCACAGCACCTGGGAGTAACATTACTGGGATTCTTGCAAATTGTTCCGTAGTAAAACACTGTAGCAATCTTGTGTTGAAAAAATGAGGATGGGTGTCTTGGGATGTGGCACAGCAGATTGAAAGAAAGGAAACCTTATGAATAACTGGACGATTAGAACACTGTAGAGAGTGAAATAACAATTGACATTTGTGACTCACAAATACAAGCCTGAAGAGAGACATGGAAAAAGGTGCCCAGCACAGACTGAGGATAAATGGATACAAAGCCCCTTTCAATTGCAAGGATCAATTAAAAGATCAATATCGGGAGTTGTTCCTCTACTTGTTGGCAGTATTTCATTTGTCAAGCCCAAATAGAAGTGTTTTTTTCACACAAAGGTTTGTTACGACATACCCTATCACCAAAAACAATGGTTGAAAAAATAACAACTTGCATTTAAATAGCATCTTTCATTGACCACATCACTCCCACCCTCGCTCGCCTCCACTGGCTCCCCATCCCCCAGAGGATCGAATTCAAGATCCGCATCCTCACCTACAAGGCCATTCACGGCCTTGCTCCCTCCTACCTCTCTGACCTACTATCCCCCTACCTACCTGCCTGTACCCTCCGTTCCTCTGGCTCCGGTCTGCTCCACATCCCCCGCCCCAACCACCCTACTATCGGTGGCCGGGCCTTCAGCCTCTCAGCCCCTAAGCTCTGGAACTGCATCCCTCAGTGCCTTCGCCTTACCTCCTCCCTTTCCTCCTTCAAGGCCGGTCTCAAGACCTTTCTGTTTGACCGTGCCTTCAGCTCCCCTCTCGACTCTCTACCCCCTCCTCGCTCCCTCCCTTCCCTCCCCTTACCCTGACCATTTCCCCCCTGCTCGGGTCCCGACCCAACTGTCCAGCGCCTTGGGACGTCCTCCCGACGTGAAAGGCGCTCTATAAATGAAATCTTGTTGTTGTTGTTCATGCAGGATAGTGTTTCAGAGCTCTGTAAAGTGGTGGGGTTGGAAGCCAATCAAGAGATAAATAGAAGGTGACTATAGGTGCAGTTAAAGAGGTAAATCTAAAAGTGGGATTTAAAGATAGATTTTTTGTAAGCAGGATGGCCCAAATGGCTTCCTTTTAAAATGAAATATTTTATGATTCGAGACCACCAGACGATGAATGGGTAACATGATCAAATGAGAAATTGTAGATTCTTGAAATAAAAAACAGAAATTGCTGCCAGTCCACAGCAGGTCAGACAGTGTCTGAAAGAGAAACAATAGGCTAACCTTACAGGTACACCCTTTCATCAGAACAAAGACAATGAGCTGTGGGAGCCCTCTGGGAGAGATAAAGGATCTTTATGGGAAAGATAGAGGATAGGCAGCGACATAAAGGAATACAATTGATAAATAAGCTAGACAATGATTACATCAGTGTCATTAACAAATCGAGAAAGGCTGTTACTGGGGGAGGAATGGTGTTAGATAAAATAACAGTACATAGGTCAGCAATAAAATGGTGTGATGTTCCAATGCTGTTCTGTTAAGAAAGGGAGAGAGAAAATAAACTTATCACTGGCTCCTAAACCTTGTTGGGAGGTGAATTCAGTTGATTATGGTTTTGTTACGTCTTTCAATAACATAATTTGTTTCACATTTAACGACGTAAAACAAATTCCTTTTACTGAAATTGGGATTACCTGTATTATAACACATTATAATAATAAAAAACCTTGCATTTGGTACAGCACCTTTCCCAACAGGAGGATGTCAGGATAACAGGATATACTGTAAAGTGGAGCGTCTGGAGAATATACTGTAAAGTGTAGATCTTTATGACCTTCCACGCATTCAGCAGTCAATGTCCGCCATTTATAAATGAACTGTAAAAGAATGAAAGAGCATCTGCAGCACCCTGTTCAGAGATGCGATGTGCTATTCATTCCATAGTTTCTACACTTTAACACATTCTGAAACATTGCGTAAAATGCAGGGAACTATGTAATAATTGGCAGCATGAAGTCCTGCATTTTCTTTTTCACCGCAGTTGATTATAAGCATCGGCTTCCCGGGTTGGGGAAGCATCAATAGCAACACTTGTTGGTTATTACGTCATTTCTGATCCATCAGAAGCGACGTTTGGTAGCAATGAGATGATGGTCTCAGATTGGTGAGACAAGCTTAGAATTTGAACTATCCACTGCAGCAGCGTGCAGCCAGTACAAAGGCAGTGCACTCTGTTACCAAGCAACAAAAGACACAGGAGAGAGAGAGTGTGTGAGCCTGAACCAGCCACTGAATATTGGACCAGGGTGAGAGTAATTCAAGAAGCGAGTGGTGGAGCAATCTGAGGATGGACTGGAGAAGTTGTAATAAGAGAAAAAACAAGTAATTTAGCAGCAAGAACAGGCCATTAGGCCTGTGGAGCCTCTCCTGCCGTTTTATTAGGGTTGTGGCAGACCTTCGACTGATATGTACGCGCTTTATGAATGGAGATATTATCTGTGTCTCAGCAATATACTGCGCTGTCGTTCATTAGTCCTATATGATGTAAGAGAGCTCTAACATTGATGCGTTTGCAGTTCTAAGTGTCTGAAGACTGTGCTCCCATAAAATAATTCCCAGCGCATATCCCATATAAATATATTGAGCAAAACAAAACTTTAAATCAAAACCATGATAATGCCCTTGCATTGTCTTTGCACTGCGGTGAGTATACATAACCAATACAAATCTACCCTCTTCAGCAGTAAATTCATTTAGTTTAATGCTCACATTTAGTAGAGCACCTTTCACGTCAGGGGTTTAACTCAAAAGCATTTCACAGAATATACTGTAAAGTGTAGGAACTGTGTATTTGTAGGCGAATGCGACAGCCCATTTGCGCACTGCAATATTTCACAACCACAACCACTAAGTAAATAACCAGATTAATCTGACACAATGGGTCTTGCAGGTATATATATAGGTACATGCAGTATTATATTCACCTGAAACAACAAAATTATATTTAGTCTTCCTTACAAATAATCCACTTACTTAAAAAGATTTTGAAAATCAAGGATTAGGGAATTTTGTCAGTTTATAAAGAAAAGCAGAATTAATATGACTTGCTTTTTATTCCCCTTTTATTGCAAAGAAAAATCGCTGGATAAGTATTTTAATTTCAGGCTGCTAATCAGAACATGCACAAATCTGTTAAGTTTATAAAGCCCTTAGCATCTTATCAGAGCTAATCTCTCAGAATGATCCTGCCTCCCTATGAACGCTGACATTTTGGAGTGTGTTCTTGCTTTAAAATCCTGACGAATAAAGAAGGTGCAGTGGTGAATCATCCACAGGACAAAGAATGAGCCAAGCCGTCAGCACAAGGAAGGTTGGGTATCCCCAGTTTCTTAAAAAGCATATAAAGAAAAAATATCAGCAATACAGTTTACATCAAAATCATACTGAGAGACACGATGGAAATTCTTAAGTATTATCTGCCCATTTGTGCCTCATTGGCTCACTATCATTAATTCTATTGTTCAGGCTGTTAACACAAGCCATGGAAATCTTTTTTAGACTCCTTTTTTACTGTGAATAATAGGGCTGACAATTTGAATATTAATTTGGAGATAAAAAACAATATTCCAATGATTTATCAGTTTTTTAGTGGAGTTTGAACATAATTAGTTGAATGTTTCTCTAAACCTTTCCTCCGTGCTAGAGGTCTGAACAGCTGATAGCTCACATAGTACAGAAGAGCTTCTTAAATTTATGGTACACACAAGAGTAATCCTATATTTGTGTGAGTGTATGTGTACGTTTGAGTGTATTGAAGATGCTTTGCCATCTTTCTGAA